GTGGTGGTAGATATAGGTGTAGTGGTGGTAGGTGTAGTGGGTTGTGGTGGTGGTGAGGTGTGGTGGTGGTGTAGGTGTAGTGGTGGTAGATAAGGTGTGTGGTAGGTGTAGTGGTGGTAGATATAGGTGTAGTGTAGTGGTGGTAGTAGGTAGGTGTAGTGGTGGTAGGTGTAGTGTGGTAGGTGGTGGTGAGTATATTAGGTAGTGTGTAGTGGTGGGTGGATATAGGTGTAGTGGTGGTAGGGTGATGGTGGTAGATAGGTGAGTGGTGTAGTGGTGGTAGATATAGGTAGTGGGTAGGTGTAGTGGTGGTAGGTAGTGGTGGTAGGTAGGTAGTGGTGGTAGGTGTGTAGTGGTGGTAGTGTAGGTGGTGGTGAGTAGTGGTGGTAGATATAGGTGTAGTGGTGGTAGGTGAGTGGTGGTAGATATAGGTGTAGTGTAGGTGTAGTGGTGGTAGATATAGGTGTAGGTGGTAGGTGTAGTGGTAGATAGGTGTGTGGTGGTAGGTGTGTGGTGTAGTGTGTTATAGTGTAGTGGTGGTAGATATAGGTGTAGTGGTGGTAGGTGTAGTGGTAGTGTGGTAGTATATAGTGGGTAGGTGAGGGTGGAATATAGGTGTAGTGGTGGTATAGTGTAGTGAGTGGGTAGGTGTAGGTGGTGGTAAGGCGGTAGTGTGGCAGATATAGGTGTAGTAAAAGGTGAGTGGTGGTAGTGTGTGTGGTAGATATAGGTGTAGTGGTGGTAGGTGTAGTGGTGGTAGATATAGGTGTAGTGGTGGTAGGTGTAGTGTGGTGTAGATAGTGAGGTGGTGGTAGGTGTAGTGGTGGTAGGTGTAGTGGTGGTAGATATAGTGGGTGGTAGGTGTAGTGGTGGTAGATATAGGTGTAGTGGTAGATATAGGTGTAGTGGTGTGTGTAGTGGTGGTAGGTGTAGTGGTGGTAGGTGAGTGTGGAGATGGTAGGTGAGTGGTGGTAGGTGTGGTGGAGGTGGGTGGAAATATAGGTGTAGTGGTGAGAGGTGGTGGTGGTAGGAGTGGTGGTAGATATAGTAGTGGTGGTAGGTGTAGTGTGGTGTGTAGTGGTGGATATAGTGTAGTGGTGGTAGTGTAGTGGTGGTAAATATAGGTGTAGTGGTGGTAAATATGGTGTGGTGGTGGGTGTGTGTTCAGGCGCCTGGGACAACAAAATGACACCACCATGACTCGTTTAAATCAACTAAGTCAGTCCTCCTTAACTCACTCACTAACTTAGTTGTGGTGACTTACCTCCCCACACCCTCTCTCCCTCACAGGTTTATAAACCACCGTCGGCTTTAACCTTTTACAGTATACAGTGGCAGACAGATACATACATACATACATGGGGCTAAAGTTGACATCAGAACTACAGTACCATTGATATTCTTTACCTTAAATAGATTCTGAACACCAAGTAAGGTATGTAAATTAATTTACAGAATCATACACTAGGGTTTCTTTTGATATTTTCACCCTTATTTTGTTCCATCTGTTATGTCGTATCAATAAAATAAAAAGAATGCGTACCTAACATAGTCTCTCATTTAATATTTATTCGCCGTTTTCTTTGGTTCCCATCTCTTTTTGTCGTATCTCAAGTAAGCCATTAAGACGCATTTCTTACATCAACAGGCCGTGGGAGGAAATTAAACTTGAGATTCTCTGAGACTTCGGCTTATTATCGTATATGAGATAACTCGGACACATTTTCACTTCAACAGTTAGTATTTTTGTGGGGTAGAGGAGGGAGGAGGCCTGTTTGAGTCTCAGGATTTTGACCGTCTGTCCTTGGGTGCTGCCTCAAGCACGTCCCCATCTGACTCAAGCACTGATCAACACGTCCCCATCTGACTCAAGCACTGATCAACACGTCCCCATCTGACTCAAGCACTGATCAACACGTCCCCATCTGACTCAAGCACTGATCAACACGTCCCCATTTGACTCGAGCACTGGTTAACACGTCCCCATCTGACTCAAGCACTGATCAACACGTCCCCATCTGACTCAAGCACTGATCAACACAATACCATCGTGAACTACGACTACTACTACTACTGATAATAATAATTAACGGTTTATTGAAAAAGTTCTGCAGCCCGAAGGCTGAAAGTATACATTGGACATAAATGACTTATTACATGCTGCTGCTGCTGCTCACACCAGTAACTAGGGTCATTGGGACGCTTGGCATATTATCGTGTTTTGAACATTGGGACACGTGTTATCGTCGCTCTGTTTTATTTAAAGAATGTCGTTGGTTTTAAAGATATATCCTAGATATACCGTAATAATCTCTGGATAGCGAATTCAAGAACGCAGTGGACGACCTCAAGATGAGTTAATTGATGCCCGAGTTACCTTTAGCCCGGCTGATGATGGGGACCCCATCAGCTGAGAGCACAACAGCTGATGGACGACCGTAAACAAACATGGAATACGGTCTGGTGTCATATATTATTTAGATGTTGATGATTATTTCAGTCATCGTGATTGGCAACATAGAGGTCCCACCCTAACCCACCTCTCCCTCGACCCACCTCACGTCTCCCCTCCCTACAGGGCACCACCCTAACTCGTCCCTCACCGAGACAGTAATCCCAATTTTCCAACTTTAATTGAGAAATTAGGCATTCAACCTCAGCCTAATGACTCCCTCTCTTCTTTTCCTCCCTCCCTCCCCATTTTCTCCTTCCTTCCTCTCTCCCACTCCTTTCCATCCCTTCGTTCTCTCCCTCTCGTTTCTTCCTTTCTTTACCTCTCTTCCTGACTCATACAGTTTTCACTCTTTTCCCTCCCCTCCCTCTCCTCTCCTCTCTACCTCTTCCTTTCCCCTCTTTCTCTGTTCTTCTTTTCCTCCATCTCTCTCCCTTCTACCATCACAATCTCCTTGTCTTCTCCCTTCCTCCCTCACATTCACACAATCCTCCCTATCCCTCGCTCACCCAAACAAAAGACCTAAATTGGAAACTGAATTTTTTCTTCACCCCAAGATGCAGATCAAGCCATTACAGAGCTCAGGACCTCCAGCCGCCGGGGACTATAACTGGTCGGAATCCCGGGTCCATTATCTGCTGGTGCTCGATACTGTACACACAACACACACAAAATACACACACACACACACACACACACACACACACACACACACACACACACACCACACACACACACACACACACACACACATACATACATACACACACACAGCCGTAACAAAAAATTAATGAAGAAATAATGTACAGAAATAAAAAGTACTAACGTGATATACGAGGCAGGGTGAGGCAGTGGGACCTGAGGCAGGGTGAGGCAGTTGGACCTGAGGCAGGGTGAGGCAGTGAGACCTGAGGCAGGTGAGGAGGACATGGCAGGGTGGCGGAGGACATGGCAGGGTGGGAGGACATGGTGAGGGCGATACAGGGTAAGGCGAGGCAGGGCAAGACGGGGAGGGGAGCAGGCAGGGTGAGGCAGTGGGACTTGAAGCATCGACACTGGTGGATTTAGTCTCATGGTCGGCCATAATTTGTGTAAATCAGATTAGTTCAGTTATCCCGGTAAAATTCTCAGACGTTACGGCCACCCACTACCACTACCACTATTGCCACCACTATGCCACCACTACCATTGCCACCACTACCACTCATTATGCCACCACTACCACTATTGCCACCACCACCATTGCCACACACTACCACTATTGCCACCACTACTGCTATTGCCACCACCACTACTACCACTGTCATCACCACTATTGTCGCCACAACCGCTATTGTCACCACTACCACCACACACCAACCACCTATTGCCACCATTACCACTATTGCCACCACTATTACGCCGCCACTGCCACCACCGCCACCACCACTACCACTGCCACCACCACTACCAGCGCCACCACCACTACCACCGCCACCACCACCACCCCAACAAATACCACTGCTACCCAATACCGCAGCACACTATCACTACTGCCACCACCACCCACTATCACCCACCACCCACCCTATACCACCTACCCTACCACTGCCACACTCCACCAATACACTAATACCACCACCACTATTGCCACTACCTCTACTGCCACTACCTCTATTACCACTGCCACCACTACCACCAATGACACTCCCACCACCACTATTGCCACTATCATTAACACAACCATCTCCCCGGAGACACGTGTAGTGACTGGTGTGGTGACATACTGTATACGGTAACATGTGTGGTGACAGATGTGGTGACATTATGTGGTAACAAGTGTGGTGTCACGTCTTGGGCACACCACCGCCACCACCCTCTTGTCAAGGTGGGCGGCCTGATCGTGGTTGGAAGTGTATGTGGGCTGCTTACTGAAGGGAGGGCGGGGGGGATGGGTGACAGACAGGGAGGCGTGACGAAGGAGGAACCAGGTTGCATGCCTGGGAGGCTTCAACACTCGTACAGCTGAAGGAGGAAGAAGGAGTTGGGGGAGCTGAAGGAGGAAGAAGGAGTTGGGAAGAGGAAGAGGGAGATGGGGAGGGGAAGAGGAAGTGGAGATGGGAAGAGGAAGAGGGAGAGGAGAAGTGACAGTGAGAATGTATTATGGAGGACCCGGAGAGAGTGAAAGAAAGAAGAGGAGGAAGGGGAAGAAAAGAAGATGAGGATAGGGGAGGGGGAAGAAAGAGGAAGAAGGAAGAAAGAAGAAAATAAGGTTGAGAGAAGAATAAGGAAGAAGATGAGTAAGGGGAATAAGGAAGATGATAAGTAAGGGAAAGGAGGAAGAAGAAGGGAACGACGAATGTGTAAACGACAAGACCATGGCCACAATATGCCGTCAACCCAACGTTCGCTTTCCCTGACTGACTGACTCACCCGCAACTATAACCAGTCTACAGTAACAGTTATTCAGTCACCTTATTCACTTCAGTCTCGGGATTAACTTACCTTACAGTGACTATCGTACCTAACAGTGACTATCGTACCTAACAGTGACTATCGTACCTAACAGTGATTATTTTACCTTTACAGTGGAGCCAGCAGTGCCAGTGGGTGAGGAGCGAGGCAACGGGCGGGTATTGGAGAGTGCGGGAGCGGCAGTGAGGGCAGGGAGGCCGCCCGTGAATGGGGGCGGACTGCCAGAGACCCACTGTAATGAAATCAACGCCCGCGATACTCAGTGCTGGAACGGTCTACGCGTAGCTCCGTGAGTCTTAATTTGATTGTACTATAATGTTGTGATCTGAGCCTGTTATTGTAGTGTGGTGTGAGTCTTACGTCCTTACTCTAATCTTGAGGTTTAAAACTAGTGCCTAAGTCAGTCAGTTAGTCTTAAGTCAGGCAGTCAGTTGGTTAATTAGTAAGAATGAATTAGTCATTTAGTCAACAAGTCAGTCAAAATTGGTGAGTGAGTCATAGTCTGTCAGATGGCACAGAATAAATCAGTGTCAACATTGCCTCAGGGTAATGGGTGTCGGTGCTTCTAGGAACACTAGTCAGGTGCCACTCAACTAACAGTAACAGCAGTAGTATTACCCTCCTCAACCCTTCCAGCTCACCCAGTAACCCAGAGAAAAGAGGAGAAATAAATGAGTGTGTGAGAGTGTGTGTGTGTGTGTGTGAGAGTGTGTGAGAGAGTGTGTGTGTGTGTGTGTGTGTGTGCGTGTGTGTGTGTGTGTGTGTGTGTGTACAGGCTGGGTAGACGAGAGGTGCTACAGTGACTCACGCAATTAATCACAATATTGTTGGCACTTCCGTCTTCACTGAGGGAGTGCCACCACTTTAGGATTGCCACCATTTAGGGAGTACCACCACTGGGTTTTAGATAGTGTTGGCTCAAGTGTCAGTAGAAGATGACACACCTCCAAGAATAAGGATGACACTCGTACATTACCCCGCCACCTGGCAGCTCGTCATCTGGCCGTCACCACCAGGTTGCGGCTCCTCACCTTAACTTTCTCCTGTGTAAAAAGATAACTTACGGCCAAGTTTATATAACCTGTGTGTCCCTTCCATGACCCCGTGACCTACCTATGCTTAGCGACCTCCGTGACTTACCTGGTGACCTGTGATCTACCTGGTGACCTCTGTGACTAACCTGGGACCCATGATCTTCCTGGTGACCCCCGTGATCTACCTATGCCAAGCGACCTCTGTGACTTACCTGGTGACCCCGTGACTAATCTGGTGGCACTGAAACTTACCTGATGACCCTCTGATCTCCCGAACCCCCGTGATCTACCTGGTGACCCCTATGACCTATCTGGGACCACCGTGACCTACCTATGCTCACGACCTCTGTGACTTACTCCAGACCCCCGTGATCTACCTGGTAACCCCCTGATCTACCTGGTAACCCCGTGATCTACCTGGTGACCTCAACCTATCTGGTGACCACCGTGACCTACCTATGCCCGAGCACTCTGACTTACCTGGTGATCCCTGTGATCTACCTGGTGACCCTGACCTACCTGGTGGCCCCTGAGACCACCTAAGCCTAAGCGACCTCTTGACTTACCTGGTGACCACCGTGATTTACCTGGTGACCTCTGTGACCTACCTGACCCCTCGACCTACATGGTGACCCCGTGACCTACATGGTGACCTCTGTGACTTACCTGGTGACCCCGTGACCTACCTGGTAAACCCCTGTGACCTACCTGATGATTCTGACCCAGTTTGTGGAGTAGTGGTGGGTGGAGAGGTTGGTAACCTACGCCGTATAGACCGACCTGTGTTGTTTTATCTTTACAGTAATTTGTGCAACGACGCCATTACCACCCAAGCCTGTTGTGTTATAGCTAACTGTACGACGCTGGCCAGAGAATGTGCTCTGTGTGTGTGTGTGTGTGTGTGTGTGTAGTGTGTGTGTGTGTGTGTGTGTGTGTGTGTTGTGTGTGTGTGTGTGTGTGTGTGTTGTGTGTGTGTGTGTGTGTGTGTGTGTGTGTGTGTGTGTGTGTGTGTGTGTGTGTGTGTGTGTGTGTGTGTGTGTGTGTGTGTGTGTGTGTGTGTGTGTGTGTGTGTGTGTGTGTGTGTGTGTGTGTGTGTGTGTGTGTGTGTGTGTGTGTGTGTGTGTGTGTGTGTGTGTGTGAGAGAGAGAGAGAGAGAGAGAGAGAGAGAGAGAGAGCACAAGACATTCTCCTTTTTACTTCATTGGACTGACTCTAAGGTACCGGTAAAACCTTCTCCAGCAGATGTGAGCAGTCTTCTCTCTGCCCTGCCTGGGGAGAGGGAAGGGGCAGAGTTGGTGGGGTGAGTAGCGACGTGTAAACTGTTCTTGGCAGATGAGCTCAGTAAGTCAAGGGCATGAGTGAAGGCTGGCAGGAGGCTGGTTCTCTGTTAAGGAAGTGACTGTTGCCAAGATGAACCTTATTATATGGACTGTTATTATCTTTGTCGCACACTACAGGCCACTCTTTATGCGTTATCAGGACCAACTCGCTCTCAAGATGTGAAGGCCAGTGTAAGTCTTATGTACTATGCACGAAAATTCATCTCGAATGACAAATATTTGACCGCCAGACACGGGACTATGTTTTTATCCTCGCTCTTTGAATCCATCATTGTACAGCCCGAAGATCGTGGAACCGCTGAGCCTGACTGATATACAGGGTGTTTCAAAAAAGTGTATATACATCGAATCAGACAGATTTTTGTGGAAATTGTGTGAATGTTTGTGTTACAACAGCAATACTATCCTCATTTATTTATTTCCGAAGTCTCCTACAATTGAGGACAAATTTGTTGTTAAAGTATTCACGTAATATCCAAACGAAAATATTTAAGGTAGTGTGTGTGTGTACATTTTTGAGACACCCTGTATAACACAGCTTATGAATGTGTTGGAATCTCATGAAGATTAGCCCCACTCCACCTGATAATTAAGCAGCCTAACTCTTAGGTTTGTTTAAGTTAGATTAGCTTAGGTTAGGATAAGATATTTAACTTAGATTAGCGGTTGCGGTTAAGCTTAGGTAAAATAAGCTAGGGGACTAATTTCCAGGTGATTCATGTGTTGTGTACGTTTAGAACAGATGAACATTAAACCTATAAACTAAATGAACTGTTGCTCGTGTACGTATACTGTTAAACTTACAAAGATGGCGCGCCGAGTAAGTCTTTCTTGAGAATGTACGTAAACACACCGAAGACTTAGTGTCACTTAACCCTTGACACACACACACACACACAGCAGATGGACGTGTATGTCTAGGTTGAGTAGGGGAGTGAGGGGAGGAAACTGTTACTTTAGGACATCTGGTGGAGGAATAAGGTACTATTTTATCAAGTGTGTTAATTGAGCCATCTGTTAAATTTAGTTGCTAAGTTAATTAAGCCTCCTGTCCACCTGTCACACGTTTGAATCCAACAAAAAAACTTAAACGGGTAATGAAGGGTTGTCGTCTTCCCCGACGTGCGTTCACGGGCGGCCAAGTCCTAGGGCAGGTAGAGACGGAGACGTCAGGTGGTGGGACAGGTAGAAATCAGGTCGTAGAAGGGAGGAGAGGTTGCTGTGACGAAAAAAGAAAGTGACCATGATTTTGCCTGACGAGAATGAGTGAAAAGACGGAAAATGAGAAGAATGGGAGAGTGAGAGAGTTAGAGAAAGACCACACACATACACACCAGCCGCCCTGTAAACAAACACCAGGTGGCCAGAACCAGCTGGACCCTCTTTGTTTATGCACGATACTAGGAAGGCCAGGCGCGGCACCTTCTTTATATACCAGGCGGCCCCCTTGTCCCCAGCGTAACACCTTCCCCGTGGCGACCCTCACGTTGTCTCCTACATTTTTCATTTGCTGTTGAAGATTTTTTTAAGATTAACCACTCCAACGATTACCGAACCTAACCTAACCTAACCTAACCTAACCTAATCCCTCTGTGTTCGGTTGCTGGATTCTTTCTTTTTTTTTTTTTACAAAAGTCTGGTTTGTTTTCCCGTATGCAGAACGGAGAGTTACGGAGTTCCTTAATAATATATATAGAAGCCTAACATAGTGGTTCACACAAGAGCCTGTCATAGTGGTTCACACAAGAGCCTGCTGTAGTGGTTCATACAGTAGTCTACCATAGTGGTTCACACAGTAGTCTACCATAGTGGTTCACACAGAAACTTCATAGTGGCCAGGCCCTGGGTCACACGAAACCTATCATAGTGGTTCACACAAGAGCCTGTCATAGTGGTTCACACAAGAGCCTGTCATAGTGGTTCATACAGTACCATAGGTTCACAAGTAGTCACATATGTCACACAGAAACCTATCATAGTGGTTCACAGGACCGTCATAGTGGTTCACACAGAAACCTATCATAGTGGTTCACAGTCGACTTCATAGTGGTTCACACAGGTGCCGTCATAGTGGTTCACACAGGTGCCTGTCAGTGGTTCACACAGGTGCCTGTCATAGTGGTTTACACAGCCGTCCGCCCAGGTCCAGGGCCGGTGGCACACAGGTGCCTGTCATAGTGGTTCACACAGGTGCCTGTCATAGTGGTTCACACAGGTGCCTGTCATAGTGGTTCACACAGGTGCCTGTCATAGTGGTTTACACAGGAGCCTGTCATAGTGTTTCACACAGGAGCCTGTCATAGTGGTTCACACAGGTGCCTGTCGTAGTGGTTCACACAGGAGCCTGTCATAGTAGTTCACACAGGAGCCTATGATAGTAGCTTACACAGGAACCTGCCAGAGTGGTTTACACAGGAGCGTATCATAGTGGTTTACACAAGAACCTTCCATAGTGGTTTACACAGGAACCTGCCATAATGGTTCGCACAGGAGCCCATTATACTGGTTTACACAGGAGCCTGCCATACTGTTCAGCAAAGAACACACCATAGTGGTTCAGTAGGACACAGAACCACGTACTAATGACTGGAACGGCAAAGTTTCCTGCGTTTTTGGCCAACATTTGCTGCCAGTTTTAAGTTGTGTTTCTGGTTTCCGTGTTGGCAGTCGTCACCTCAAGTTAATAGTTTCGTTTGTCATCTCTGAACAAAGCCTCGGGTCGACCAGTCTGTGGAAAAGCGGAGAAAAATAGTGAGGAAAGCTCTTTGTTTTGGGAAAAAGCCTCGACATGGCCTCTACTGGATGTATGTGACAACTCCCGGACGTAAGTGCTAATTATTGAGGGCGTTGATAAAGCGGCGAGTTATCGTTCTTTGTCAACACGTCGTCCAGCTATCATCCTTCATTACTAAAAA